TAATTTGGAGCCCCTCGGCCGTCAATACACGCCTACGACTTAAGCGAACCGTCTTAATTGAGGGAAATAAAATAGTGTTGGCAGCTTTTATGTACAAGAAAAATAAAAACTAGCTATTGTTTAACACACTTACCTGTTTTGATGACTTCACACACATTCTTGAAGCTTTCAATGAAAAACGTGAACAAATATATTCAGCCACTTTATCATAAAAATACTTTCTGGCATATAAATAACAGAAAACGTCCTTGAAGGGAGCCCCAAACAACACGAAATTATTAAGATTCATTAAAAGAAAAAAATGGCTATAAGTGTCTGACATCATGGGGACCCACCTAAACTACAACAAGAGGATTACGAAATGTTTTCACCCAAAAATCGACATAAAAGAAAAACATAGATACTGTTTAATGTATGCTAGAAGATTCATGAATTAGTCATGGGGAAACAGGCAAATATACATTGTATGCCGACATAAAGACTTCAGCCAGCGCTCTTGGTTACACACTTACCGGTTTCCACGGGCCTAACATCTTGGTCTCTGTCGGAGTGTCAGATGACGGCCAGAATTTGTAAATTCATCACTGAAAAACATGAAAAAAATGTCATTAGGTCAGGAACATTTATCCTACTGTGTAAACAAACTCCCGAATCGCCAGTATATTTCCGGGCCGGTCCGCTGTTTTAGCGACTAGCTAATTGGCACATGTTCGATACGCCTTCCTCTAATCGGGATTTAGAGCGTTGTCAGGTGCCATATTGACGTCTGCGAGGTCATTCGGCAGCTTTCTTTTCACTTTTTAAGCGCACGGCTGCCGTCAAGATTCATGAGCGTGTCAAACAGGCTTAATATCCATCCTGTGTCATGCAAGCAGCAACGTCGGGAGAGCGCGAGAGGGAATGGTTATCTCAGATGGAAGGGTTGTTGGAGTGAATCACGGCGCCCCAGTGGCTTGGAAGTACCCGCATATGCAAATGTTTGTTGTGGTGCGCTACATTATTCAAATGCGTGGTGCCTTTGGGGTTAGCCTCCGCCGCTAGCTATCGCGCTCACGCGCAGAGACGTGGTCAGTCTGCGTGCCTAATCGTGCCCTCGTGCGCGCCCGGTTTACGAATTTCATTCATTACGAGAACAGGCTTCTAACTCAAAACAGTTACATTACAAATGACCCTTTCACCGTTGAAAGGAAAGGAAATGCCAGTAATCTGTTGAAACACCAACAACAACAAAAAAATCGTCATGCTTGTTTTCAGTAGGACAAATATCACTCTACAGAGTATTGTAGTTTATAATAAAAAAATTAATTAAATGGCAATAATAATAAAAATAACAATAATAATAATAATAAATAGTTTATTCAGTACAATTTGTTGCGCATCCCCTGGCCACGAGAGGGCAGTATAATATATACTGTATAGCCAGGTACAAACACAAACATTCCCAATTGTTTATCAAGCTGCAGTAATATTCATCGTTTCATGCAGAAATGTGCATCCCAGAATGTTGAGCAGCCTTCCAGCCTTTTTGCTTAAAAAGCAAAGTTGTGACAAATCGAAAATAAGTGCGACATTTTTGCAGTTTTCAAGATTGAAACGTGAACATCCACTTTTTGCATTTAATTTTTTTTAGTTGTCAAGGACAAAAAGAAAGAGAAGGAAAACATGTATCTGGCTTGTTATTCCTCCACCGACGCCTGAGTTGAAGGTGAGCGGCGCTCAGTTGCTTGGTCAAGCTGACATTCAACAGACAGTTTGATGTCTTGGCCGCTAGTTAAAGCCCCGAACGGCTAATTGCTAACTCATTGTATTGATAGCATCTCAAACACGCAGACGGACGGCTGAGGACGCAGCGGCATGGCCGTCGTGTCACAAAAGTACAGCGTGGTCAGGTGTAATTAATGCTGAAGTGCGTGTTTAATGGATCAATAATGACAGACAGATGGGTCGGCCATGAATGTGGTGCTCAGGGAAGAAGGAGGGAAAAAAATAAGAGCACTTAGGCCGGCAATTAATATGTCGAAGGAAGCGAGAGGAAAAACGGATAACATAAATGTAAGATCGGCTCGGAGGACTGTTCCTATGGATTATTGTCATCGATTGGCTCCCGATGCCAGCGAGTGACTTTTATGGGAATAACGTCATTGATTCCCCCACCGTGACGGCCTAAACAACAGCGGGGAGGGGAACGTCGGTTCGGGGTCAATATGGCCGTCAGCCAGGACGAGTTGGTTGCACTGACGGCTTTTCCAGGTCACTTACATAACACATGTGAAGCCGGAAAAAACGATGCACTGTAACCGTCCCAGACCTTCACCCAGGATCAGCACTTGACCAAAGTGCTTCAAAAATTTGAATTTTTTTGTTCTGTTGGCAAGCTGACCACTTCCTGGTACTCAGAGGATCGTAGCATTTTTGAGTCTACCAAACGTTGGACGCCTCCATCAAAATGTCAAAAACTGAAAAAATCGTGAGGCATTTGTCCTCAGTTTGTAAGCAGGTTTCTTCTTGACCTAAGGGTGATGATGTAAAATCACAGGATTCTCACATTTTGGGGGACTCTGAGACTAAGTAAATGGTTTGAATTTCAGTACATTTCTCCAAGTGAAGAAAGTCATTCTTGTTCATCCCTGTATCAGCCGACTTCCTGGTTCACCAAGGATAATGTCAACAAAACCCATGGTTACTTCCCAGGTTGTGAGGACATAAAAAGACAAGATCATAGCACCTTTGATTCTTGGGCAGAGTAAACAGTTCCATTGGGCTACAAACATAAAAAACTATGAAAAAGTGAAAAAAAATATGGTGTGTTTGTTTACACCATAGCTGGCTACTTCCTGGTTCATTAACGATGACTTAAGATCATGAGACTGTATGATATTTGACTCTCAGCCAGGGTGAATGGTTCCATTGGGCCTCAAAAGAAAAAAAAAAGAATCAAATAAATCTCTCAAACATATGTGAACAAAAAGGCCTTTGTCCATTGATTACAGTTCAATGATGAAGTGAACAAAACGGAAAAATTCCATGTTTAGTTTCCACTTTGTGGGAGGACCGCAAGATTGTTTCTTCTTGGACAGGATGAATGAGTCAGTCGGACCTCAAACGCCCAAAAATGCAAAACAAATTTCTTTTACAAAAACACAACAATCAAGAGTCATCATTCATTTGTAAGTCAAATTCCTAGTTTAATGAGGTTGGCATGAAAACACAAAACGGTTAGTTTTAAAAGCTGTTTCCAGAAGTGAAATGATTGCACCGTACCATTTCTGGTACAGGTTGGAGAGTAACATTGGACCTCAAATGTCGAAAAGTGAAGAATTTGTGGGGCATTTGTTTGTCTGTCTTCAGTTACCGTAGTTAGCAAACTACGTCCTGGTTTGCAGGGGGTGGCTTCAGACAACACAACTGTACTGTTTTCTAGCCTGGGTGGGAAAAAAAATCCCATTGGGCCTCAAACAGCAAAAAATACTCTACAAGGTTGTACCATTTTTCACCTTGGAGCTAGTGGAACAATACCATTGGGCCTCAGCTATGATGCTAACATGCTAACAACATGGCTGCCTTGTAAAAGCACATTTGAAATATTTTCTCCCCTGGCCCAGAGGTTAGCAAACATTTTCTTTCTCACGCTGTCGTGAGCCTCGTTCATTCAAAGCATATCAAGGTGTTACATAAATACGGGAGAAAAAGGCCAACTCATTGCACTCAGGCGGCGTTGACAGGCCGCGTCAATATTTTCTTCTCATCGCTGATTCAAAATGCATATTCATGCGTATATCAAGTTTGACTGAAAAAAAACTGGAAGGTGAAATTCAACAAAAAGGTGTTGTGCAGATAGAGAGGAAGTAAATGGCTGCAGATGGGGGAGGTCAACAATCTGCTGCCCTCATCGCTTCCAATTAATTCTTCATCGCTGTTTTGTATGCACACTGACCACGTTCCCTTTCACAATCGGTGGCCTCGCGCAGACGGCAAGTGCAATACGGGCAAAACGCTTATTATGATTATGCTCCAGTCCGAAATGCTAAAGTCGTGCGAGCGTGTGTGCCGCTCTGACCTTTTGGTGGGCCTTTACCACACAAGCACCTTCCTCCTCCTGCAGGCAAAGTCAAAACACATTTGAAATTTTTGCTTCTTCTGTGCCGAGGTCTACAGCCATGGGCTCACTACTCAGACACGTAAATTCAAATGGCGTTTGCACAGGCAGCGGACGTGCGTCGCTGTCAAACGATTGGAATGTTTTTAGCCAATCGGAAGGCAGGTTAACTGAAGAGAGGCGCTGCTCAGTGATGTAAATGGAAGCTCTTTACCCTGATTTTCTAAATGTCTCCTTCACAGTGACCAAAAGGCAGCAAATGTATGAAAAAAAAACTAAAAACATCGAAGCTCGCAGGAATGAGGAACCCCATTCCTTGGATGAGGAGGTAACAAGGACATTGGTGATGGTCCCTGAATCATTAATTGCGTCTTCTGATGAGCCTGAAATGACCGCGAGTCCTCATTGCTGGTTCATTACTGACCTCTGGTGGTCAAGGTGAACATGAGCAAACGGGAAGAGAAGAAAGAGAAATGACAGCTTTCAGAAAAATTAAAGGACTGAAATTGAAATGAAGAAGTTGGAAATTGGGAGGAAAACGTCATGATGGTGGGAAACTAGATTTTTTTTCACCTTTCGTATACAATTTCAATTTCTTGCCATTTCAATACACTTTCCCCCTCAATTACAACTTCACCCTGTAATTTAGACAGTTTTTCCTCAAAATATTCCAACTTTGGTAAGATTATGATTTTTCTGCCCATACTGTTATGATGTACACTTAAATTGATTTTCATCGCTCGTTTTTTGTTGTGCTATTTTGATTTGTTTGGTTCTGATTTATTCTTACGTGTACTGTGAGTTGATTAGTCTACATGTTAAAAAAAAAGGTGTTGACATTGCTCAAGGCATCAAAAATTTCCTTTTTTTTTTTAGTGTGAATGAAGAAAAAGCCACTAGTGGGTGCCGTTGCATAGTCGTTTTATTGTGGAAAATACAGAAGACAAGGCAGATGGTCTTGTGCTTGTGTGCGCGTGTAGAAAAACAAGGTGTGCGAGGATCCTCTCACTTCTTGCTGACGTTGGTGTCGTCCCTCTCCACGGGGAATATTTCGATTTCACGAATGATCCGTTCAGCGATAACGTTGTTGTTTGCCGACACCATCCTCCGAGACATCAAGTCGAACGGCCCCCCTAAATTTTGCCCAGCACAAAGCATCTCTATTTATTTAGTTAACTTTTTTTTTTAAAGAACACCTTCGTGGATCAGCAAAAAGCACCCCCGCCATCCCGCCGCCAGTGTACGCACCGTCCACATCCAGCAGTATTCCGCCAGCTTCAGTCACGATCACTGCCCCCGCCGCGATGTCCCAGCAGTGGATCCCGATCTCGAAGAAAGCCTCCACCGCCCCGCACGCCACCAGGCACATGTTGGTGGCGGCTGTGCCCGAGCCGCGCAGTCTGCGGGCAAAGGGTCGACATTAGCGCCAAATGGACAATGTGTTAACTTGCAATGTTGAGTCACTTTCCATTGCACAGCTTTGTTTTGTCGTTGGTGGAGCTTGTCAATTTGAAAGCAGAATAGGACGGGACGTGTGGCGAGCGTGTACTCACCCGTGCACGGGGATGCGCAGGATCTTTTGCATGGTGGAGAAGATCTTGGTGACCTTTTCGGGGTTCCTGTCGGTGCCGTGCTCCGAGATGATGATGGATTTGTGGATGTCTGGTGAGACAGCAGACGGGACGGCTTAGCATGCGGGACGGAGCGGGGAGGGGAAACCCCCTCGCATCCTCACGTTACCTTTCACGTCCGACACTTGAATGAGCTCGTCGTTGCAGAAAGCTCCTTTGCCTCTCCTGGCTTTATACATCTTGTCTTCCAAGCAGCTGTACACCACGCCAAACTCCAACTGCAACATTGCAATAGATAAATAAAGGAAATACTTGAACACGACCAACGTGTGGGGATAATTTTAGATGCTGAGACTCACCTGCTTTTTGACTGCAAAGGCGATCGACACGGCCACAAATGGGAACCTGCGAACATTGTTCACAAATGTTGCCAACTTGCACTGACATGGTTGACCAAGAAGACATGCATCATCGTATCATAATAATCTCAAAATAAAACGTCATCTCCGGTGCGTTCATTAGTTCAAAGCACCATGTCAGCAACTTGCCAACTTGTTTCCACAGTTTGGTCACGTGACATCCACCATGCAGGCGCCAAAGTAGGTGATGTTAATTTTGCTCAACAGCAGAGGGCGATGTTGCACAACATGGGGGTAGGGGGGCTCAGATGGATGCAAATGAATTATTGCATCCCTTTTTTATTCCACCATATCAGAATTTAAAAAAAAGCCGGGTTTATTCTCCTTTAACGACTTACTAAAATAAATAAATAAAAATTACACAATGTAAAAAAAACGCACAGTTAAAAAATACATTGACACAAACATCTGCTATGTTTTTATTTAATGAAACAATTGGTGAATTAATTGTTACTTTTAAGATCGGGAATGTCTGACACCTCTTTTTTGAGAGCAATGCCTGTATTGGTAGTCACTCTTGAGGATTCACCAATACCTACACCACGAGTACTTTGGAGACATTCAATTTCCATCCACACAAAGACGTTTTTGGGGCTTTCTGATGCACGTTGATTTGCCCATGTGTCAAATCGCCAAATTGCCGTGCCAATTCCTGGTGAGGAGGATTACTGCCTTCAAAAGAGCCCGATACCTTCCGGCATTTTAATCTCGAAATTTAAGAAAGTTTGATTTGAGGAAGTTTGAGGAATACCACGCAAAGCTGAAAAGGGTTTTTTGGGGTAAAATATCTGCTTAGTTTTCCAGGTTTTGGGCTTGGGCGGAAAAAAAAAGTGTCGTAACCCTCCAATAACAGTAACTATGATCCTCCAAAGGCCAGACCAGTTAGTTAAGTCCGGCATCCAGTGCAAATGTATTGGCGCCAGACTTTTGAGGCTGAAAGCAGAGAGACAAGGTCTTACCCATGGACAAAGTTGGTGGTTCCGTCCACCGGGTCGATGATCCACGTGGGTTTGTCAGTCAAGATGCACGGTTTGCCGTTTGCCACCGACTCCTCGCCGATGAAGCTGCGGCGCAAACACACAAGACACGCCTCAGTCAGTCGCCGCGCAGACAGAGCAACTTGTAGCCGAGTCGGAACGCAGTAGAAGAGTCGCGTGAGTTCAGTGCCGGCAGAGATGCAGCACTTGGACCATACTTGGAATCGTTTTGCTACTACTGGATTCCAGTAGTAGCATTTGTAGTAAGGACGTTCCATACCACTTTTTGATTTCAGACCGATGACAGCACAAGTGTTCGGTCTTTCAGTATTTGCGATACCTTGAGTACTTTTGATCTATAATATTTCCATTGAGCACAATGACAAAAAAAAAATGTCAACAAAGACTTTTCTTTCTGATGCAGCACTTTGCATGAGGCTGTGGTTGAGGGGAAGTGTGGTGTGTCAAACTACCGCAGTATAGTGCCAACTACTGCCGAGGAGAACTTACTCAATTTTTTTTTTTTTTTTGCATTCAGTATCGGTGGCTGATTTCAGCAGCTTCCACGAGGATGCGATACCATCAAATAAGGCCGATATCGGCCCGATACTGACACCTGTTATTGGCACTCGCCCCTCCCTATTTGTAGAGGAGCCGTAAAGAAGTCGTAGCAGGAGTGACAGCTGTAGCGTAGGCCAACTGCAGCACAATTATCGGCCAATCGGAGCTGGGAAGACGGGTCACCTGTAGGTGTTGTCTCCAAACTCTTGTTTGAGTGAATTGATGATGATTTTCTCCACCCTCTCATCTGTCTTGGTGACCAGGTCCACGGTGGAGCTCTTTGTCGACACCTTGATTTCGCTCTCGCCGGCTTTCCGAATTTCCTGCGTGCATATGCAGAAGAACATTGGCTTGGGCAACTCTGCGTGATGACATCACACCAGCTACCATTTCAACTCCCGCCACTTTGACGGCAAAATCGTACGCCCTCTGCCATGGATCCTCCATCGCCTGGTGTGTTGGCTTTATCTGCACACACACCTTTTCCTGCGCACACACACACACACACACACACACACACACACACACGCGCACACACACACACACGCACATGCACAAAGCAACTTTTTTTTTTTGTTTTTTGGCGGGGGTGTGCAAAAGCAACCGCGAGGCGCGAAAGCAGAAGCAGCAGCACAAGATTCGGGGAAGGCCCAGCGGGCGGGGGTTTTCGCTGTCTTTGGGCCAGCCCGAGCTGAGTGTCACAAAAGAATGACTTATGTAACTAACATCCTGAAGCAAACCGCCTTCCTTTTGGAGCGGCCGAGCAAATAAACGACAGGATAAGACTCTGCAATCGGTATGTACTATTGACTCTGATGCCAGGCAATAGAAAAACAAGCAGCACCTTACCTTGATGAGATGGGATGAGAGAGCGGGGGCGAGACGTTGCCGACTTGTGGTGCAGCGTCTTATGCAAAAGCAATGTTAAAATGCCTAATAGGAGGGTGGGTTGTTCTGTAGCACTGTCAAAGTAGGAAAAGTACTAGCACCGCCTCACTCACTCGCAAAAGGAGAAAAAAAAAAAAAAAAACACGCTCTTCAGGACAACATGCTAGAACACGATGCCACATTTAAATGGAAGCCAGTGGAAATTTTCCACTGAATCATCGGGCCAAGTGCGCACATTTTGGCAGGTTTGGGACGCAATCTGCACGTGGCTATTCAAATTAAATGAAAAGCAGATGAATTGGGAGGAAAATAAACCTGGTGGAGCCTTTCAATGTTTTCTTTACATTGCAACTAGAGTCTATCGGCGTGATTCAAGGGTGTTTCCTTCTTCACAGGGCCAGGTCAAAATGTGAAAATCTCGCACACCACGCCTTCAAATAACTCGAATCTTTTTGCCAGGTGACCCGACAGGCGCGAATGTTGCGGGCCGTCTCTTCAGGGGGCCAGGAGACTTAATTTACGGAAAACGCCACTGAAGTACAAAGTCGCATCAGATCGGAAGTGTGCAGGGTTCTGCTCATGTGGCTGAAAGTCAAAATGTGCAGATTTGATACCGCCAATGAATATGCCGGCTTGGATCGCATCACGTTACACCCGACAAAAGAATCTTTAAAAAGAATGTCGCGGTTATCAAGTGTGATTCAACCAGTCACCGCAAGCACCTATTAACACATATGTATAAATATCAAGAGAGACAGAGACAAAGACAGACGTAGAGAGAAGTGTGTGTGGGTGTGTGTGTATGTGCATATTTTCAATAAAAACATGAAATTCTTGTCTGGATGAGCCCTAAACTTTTAAAAGGGAGAGTATATTGCTTTGTCTTAAAAAAAAATAATAATAACAATACACCTCACAATATTTATAATTCCACGTTTCTTGTCTGGATGAGCCCTAAACTTTTAAAAGGGACAGTATATTGCTTTGTCTTAAAAAATATATATAATAAATAAAAAATAAAAAATAAAAAAAACTAATAATACACCTCACAATATTTATAATTCCACGAATCATTTGTTTGTATGTTTGTAGCTGAACAAACTACTGCCAACTGTTGCAGATGTTCAGTGAACTTTTCTTCTTCATCTATCTTTGACAAATACCGTACGTGAAGCGTTTGGCGAGGTAAGCATGTCCAATTTTAGTTTTGAAAGCTCAGCAAACGATGTTAAAAGTTAGGCGAGTTTAGTCAGCGACTATTGTTAGAATAGTTTGGCCTATTGCCAATCGTCCGGTTCCACATGGTCCAGTCTCGGAACATCCATCTTTCATGATTGCACGAATGAGCAATCGGGGAAGGATTTCAGGAAAGTTCCACCGAGGTAATAGGAGGGGCAAA